TTGTTTTTGAGTGATGTTTTGAATGTGGTGAGGGAGGAAGAGTTTCTGATGGGTTGGGGTAGTGAGTTCCAGAGGGTGGGTGCAGCAACGGAGAAGGCTCTGTCGCCCCAGGTCTTGAGGTTGGTTCGGTTGTGGGGGGGGACAGGAGGTTGGCAGCAGCAGAGCGGAGGGAGCGGGTGGGAGTGTGTCTGTGGAGGAGGTCAGTCAGGTAGGATGGGGCCAGGTTATGTCATCAGGAGGATCTTGTACTGAATTATCTGGGGGATGGGGAGCCAGTGGAGCTTGATGAGGACGGGGTGATGTGTTCACGGATTCGGGTGTGGGTGAGTAGACGGGCTGTTGCAGTAGTCCAGACGGGAGGTGATGAAGGCGTGGATGAGGGTTTCTGCAGCAGGGTTTCATCATCAAATAGTAATTTGGCAGTGAGAGAGAGACGGTTGAGGACTGGCAGTGTCTCACTTTGGGGTCATTTCATGACCGAGCATTATCAAAGCTCTTGGTTATGGCAGCTTCAACACCAGATGCCTGCTGTGTTTTTTCTGTTTTCATTTGAATAAAACGTTTTCCCGTCATGATGTTATTGTAGCACCAGCCTAAGGTAGTCAGCTGGAAAGTCGATGGGTTATCGCAAGGCTAAGTATCAAAGTAGTAAAGAAAAATAACTACCTGATTTTTTGTATTATTAGTTGGATTGCTTTTAGCGAATTGTAAAAATAGATCAGTTCGTGACCAATTTATAATGCTGAGGTTTTGTTGCTGTTTTTGATTTGCACCCGATTAAATAGAACCATTTTTATACTAAGAAATTATACACAAAATAGCTGAACTTGAACAAATATTTAACAAAATCGATTGGACATCTGAAGCTGATTCAGAAAGCTCCTGCTCACGTCCTTACTCAAATTAAGAACGTGGATCACATCACGTAATTTCTTCTTCTAGCTCTTTATTAGCCGCTTTAAACTCTATTTAAATGTTTATTTAGCACTTTGTCTCAATGTGTTGAATATTTTAAGTAAATCATATATTAAATTGCCTGGTTGTTGAAACGTTCTCTATAAATAAACTACTGTCAACATTTTCAGCATGTTCTCTGTTTGCTTAAGGAGATAGGCACTCTCTCAGCAGTGCACATATTTTAATTAAGAAAACACATACGTATACTCTGAAGGAGAGTCTACAGTTGTTCAAAAAGCTACACTTTGCAGAAGAGAAAAAAAGCAGATTCCTGTTTCACTTTGTTCATATATTCAGTAAAACCTTCTCTTGCTGACATCTTACAGACTCTCAGCACCTGTCAGGGCGAGACACCTTTTACCTTTATCATTCTTTTGTATTTCATGGATCCACCCAACATCAACCTGAGGTCTAATCAGTCACAATAACTCCACACACGTGTGTGGGCGTGCTGCGCCTCTCAAGTCCAAATGTTCTACTCTTCCTCGTGAGTCAATAAAGACCCTCCTTGGAGGATTTCTTAAGCAGAGCCTCTAGCATCCTGACATATTACTCCAGCGCTAACACAGTCTGAGGACATGGTTGGTGTTTCACAATAACACAGGGGTGGATCGTCGATATACTTACTGCACGTTTACAGGAAACTGTCTCATCTTCTTTTTTCAACTTGATGAACTACAGTCAAAGCATGACTCTGAGTGGTGTACCAGTGATGGAAAAAATGGAAGCTTTTGGATACTGATATATCACTGTTACAATGCAACTACATTCAAATGACGCACTCATCCAAATGCTGTGCCACTATTGACCTTACAGCACAGTTTGAATAGCCAGCTGTAAAAAAGCATTCCAATTGAATGCATTTCATTTGTTTCTAAAGTCGTAATAAAAGTGTAGCAAGTAGACTTCACAAACCCTTTTGCGATAATAATGGACGCTGACAGTGGACGACAGGAAAGCAAACTGTATGCTAAATGATGATGAGCAATGTCACCAAGTACATGGTGTTTGAACATCTCTACTTAGAACATATTGACGAATGTCCCAATTCAGAATTACATCATGCAATATGCAGATAAGAAAAATAACTAAATAAAGGCAAACTATAACATTGATATTAAGTATCGGCAAGTACCTTAAGTTTTTTAATCAAAATCGATATCAGAGATCAAGAATGATGAGTGCCTCCCGAATGCAAATCAGTGAAAGAGTAATGGAGCAAAATGGAAATGAAGAGGAGTTTTTAATCTAAGAAGAGCAAATTAAGGTGTTTGAAATGAGTCTGTCTCTGTGAGAAAATGTGTCTAATTAAGTGTTAAGACATTAAATGACTTGAAAGTTTGTTCACCAAAAAAGAAAGCATAGTTAACTCTGCAAGCTATGCCAGCTTTATCACTGCACATTGTCTCGTATTTTCTTTTTGGGGAAGAAAAAAAGAAAAGAGCAAATGTTGAATTATAAAACTGAGAGTAAACATTTGCACTGAGAAAGGTTGTCACAGTGAGTGTAACAGATGTAACTATAAGCACCTTAGAATATTTTCTGTCTTAGCGTAGCTGTTTTCTTATCACATAGTATGTTTGGCATCTGGTCCGCACATATTCCCGTTCACGCTGCACAGATAAGCAGGTACAAACACACACACACACACACACACACACACACACACACACACACACACACACACACACACACACACACACACACACACACACACACACTACTCAGAGCGACAACACAAGCACAGATAAACAAACATCAGAACACAAACACAACAAGGGACGCATCCAAACAAGATACAGTACATCAATACCAACACACACACACATACCCACGCACACACAGAGAGAGAGGACATGTCCTTCACGTAAGACCACAGCAGGTGGTACTCCCCCCCATGTCTCCATAGTCTCCTGTCTGGTCCCAGCCCATCTGATTTTCTCTGTCTGCCTCGTGTCTGTCTTACTTTCTTATTTGATTTCTTTCAACCCCTCTTGATACATCCTTCTTCTCCCCCCCCCCCCCCNCCCCCCCTTCACCGTCTACTTCTAAATCTGGCTTTACACCTGTCTGCTTTTTCAAAACCTCTCTCTATGCTCAGAAAAAACTGTCCCAGCGGTTTGCTGTTTTTGTCAGCTGACATGATCCCATCCCTTTTGCTGATATTTTTTGACTGAACGGCTTCAAGAGGCCTATTTAAAATTGCGTATAAAAATCAATTGTTAGGAGAAGACCCTAATTGAGATGCATGACAAAAGAGTCCACAGGACGACAGATTGAATGTGTGTTTCCTTCCATATATCTGTTGCATCAAATCTAACTTTTCTATCTCTGCCTGTCTCCCTGCAGTCATTAGTAGTTGTTTCTTCCCCATACTTTCTTATGTCTTTGTCTGTCTATCCTTCTGGCTAAATAGCTCATTTTTGTCTGCCAGCTTGCCTTTTGCTCACACACTGCCCCCAGCTGTTCGCAAGGCTATTAGACCTCCGACATGTTTTTTCTTCAAAAGTAATCTGCTTCATCATCAGACTTAAAAGCTTGTGTATTAGAGGGACAGAGAGGACACACACACACACACAGATTCTGGGGGAGAGGTGATATCTCTGTTTCATGTGTGTCACATCAAAGGCACTAGAGCTACTGTTAAACAGTAGTGCTGGCTTGATTTGTGCCTAAAAAAACTTGTATACACTTTCAAAGTCATATTCGATTGTTATTGTTACCAGGGCTACAAACCCAGATTGTTTCTGTCAGACTTTTTGCTGCCGACAAATGGCCTGCAATACTTTTTAAAACAACAGTGCAAGAAAATGTTCCCTGCCTCAGACACAAACTGATAACTGTTGTGGATGCCATAAGGCAGCCAAAAACAACCGCATTTTGAAAATGTCTTATTGTAAGTCGCTTTGGATAAAAGCGTCAGCTAAATGCAATGTAATGTAATGTAAAAAAATAATAACATTGGTTATAGTTTTCGAGGAGATTAACGACTGATTCAAAAAATGATATATGTAAAGAGCCGTTTACGAAATCATCCAGTGCACAATATCATTCATACAGATATGTTGCTTTAGCCAGTGCACAGTTGTGTTGAGCCAGACAGTCAGTCTTCAACATGCAAATGTGCCCAGTTGGCTTTTAGGATGAAAATGGTTTCAGCTAAAAACAGCCAATCAGAGAAGTTTTGATGTCTCTATTTAGTACTTTAATATGTGTAATTCCTTTCAGAGGTGACAAGACACCCTCAGTGCAAAAACAGCATTCTCAAAAGAACCCAGGAATCACATATAATGTACCTCTCTGCAGTTACGCTGCTTCACATTTTGCATTTAAGGCCTATTACTCGTTGCAAAAAGTTGAGCTCCAACAGTATAAAGCCACATGCTGAGCACAGCTGCAGCTCCTCAGCCTGCTGCTGGTGGATGGAGCTATGGTTATTGTTTGGACTGTGGCTGTGTTTGGTTGTACTCGTGCTGTTATGAACAAGGAAACTGTAGCTGTAATGTGGCTATTCTTTAGTGCTCTTAATCAAGATAAGCAAGGAAACTATTGTTGAACCTGCCATGCTTTTCTCAGGTAAGATGGATGTGTTACCAATCCACTAAAGCCTTAACAGGAGGTGACATCAGTCTGTACAGAGCTGTGTTCACTAGCTGCATGAACTATATCCATTAGTTATCTATCCAGCTGAAATGATACAGATGTTTGTCTCAGCCACAGCACTGTTCTACTACATAATACATGAAACTTCATTATAATACAGCTCAGCATTTCTCTATGGATCATGGATAAGGCCAAACGAGGCAAAGCAAAAATATTGGAAGGGAACTCAAAGCAGTGCCCCCCTGACACTGACCTCTGACCCCCCTGTGGCCCCCCTAAAAATAAAAAGTGAAAAAAATGAAAAATGTATGATTTATTACACGATTTATTGAATGACGGAATAGGCGGAACTAATGTTCTTCGTCATTCTAGTCGGACCCATTAGAGCGTGCACAGGACCCATTAGAGCGGTGCACTCACTTTCACTGTCCGGCTGAAGCTCACGAAAAACAAACACTTTTCATCTCGGATCATCAGAGGCTGTTGCATCCAAGAAAGACTGATTGAAACCTACGTTTCGAGAGACTACCACGATAATTGAAGGTGAGTTAAAGTATTGTATCCGTGTAATTGTAGATGTAAAGTAGAGATGTAACTGTTCATTGTCTTTCATATGATATGGTGTTAGTGCAAAAATGGTACTATAACTTAAGCTGAAGCTAATAACTATAAGATATATCTGAAATAAATAAGTGTACTGAAACAAATACCAATAACTGTATTGCATTGTTTTCTTATGCACAATTACTTCATTCTGTCTAGTTTTCTTTTTCGTCCTGCATTTATTGTGCCCCCCTCAGAAAATAACTGGCCCCCCAGTGGCCCCCCCAGTCAAATTGGTCTAGAATCGCCACAGGAGCCGAGCCAAATGATCCGGCTCACTAACGTAAAAAGACAGTAGATAAGGGACGGCTCAAGTCAAAATTCAAAAATTCAAAACGCCACCCCTTTCCGCTCTCGGGTGGACGTGGACGCCATCTCACCCCTGGTCTGGCGGAAACACTGCTTGCAAGCCTCTTTTATTTGCTAATATGAAACAGAGACGCCATTTCTTTTCATATCTTACACTTTTGGGGACACAATTTCTCACCATTAATTAAGAATGTATTGAATTAATCAATCTGTATTACATACTGAATGGACATTATGTCATGGAAGGTATGAACACAGCATATTTGGGCATGCATTAACTCTGTCTTTGTTGTGTTTTGTTTCAGATGTGTGGGTGTAACTTTAGGCCATTCCGCCTGACACTCGGTATGCAGGTCAGGTTGTCAGCCTGCAATGACAAGCAACATTCAAAGTCGGACTGAGAAACGATAACCTCCCACAGAACCTCCCGGCTTTCTCTTCTTCATCTTGATGTTGTCTTTCCCTTGTTTGTCAAGTTCTCCTTTCTTCGCTGTGCTGTCTTTCTTTCTTTCATTCTCTCCTCCTGTTCTCTTTCTTACATCTATCCCTTGTCATTTCATTTAATCTCTGCCCTGTCCACATAATTTCGTCTTCTTTTTTCTCCTTTCCTTCCATCTTTATCTTGCTGTCTTTCACCTCAGTTGTTTCTGTGACAGTGAATGAGAGATGGGGGTCAGCTTGTTGATGCCGGTGTCAGTAAAGTCTTATCAGCTTACCACAGCTTTGGAATCACAAGTCGTGGCAGAACACCTGTAATTTTGGCTCTCCACCGCTCTGAAGGTTATATATAAGGCAAACCATACACATAAGCTTAGATTCAACATGTATCTCTTAATACTAACCAGTCCATTCTGGCACAGATTTTGCAAAACATCTCCCGTATTGCTTGATTAAAGGACAGAAAAGAGCAGGCTTCGGCTCGCTGAGTGCATATGGAGATGAGGCTTACAGAGTATCTTACAGCAGTGCATCAAAGTGAGGGCCCTAATGGGAAATCACTCTAAACCTGCAACTAAAGGACCAAATATTCTCTGCTAAAGGAAACAACATTACTTCTCCTTTTCAGAAACAACTGATGATTACCTATAATGTACGGTGGCTGAGAGGTGCAATCGACAATTACAAAGTGTGAAACACTTTAACAAAGCTTGAGACAAATTTACATTTTATAAAACACTTTTACCAAAGAAAAAAAACAAAACATTTAACATTAACAAAAACAAATTAACAAGATGCAAAACACTTTTACAAAGCTAGAGACAAATTTGTCAAAACACTTTAACATTTCCCGAAACACTTTAACATTTGCCGAAACACTTTAACATTTCCAGAAAAACTTTAACATTTGCCGAAACACTTTAACAAACTAGAGAATCAAACCGGAAAGGGAATGCCCATCATACCAGAAGTGATGTGCAAGTGATTGACACAAACTTAAGTTTGTTTTGGCGGATAGACCGCCGGTACCTATGGATGGTACGAGTGTGTTTATGGTCGTTAAACATGTTTTGCCGTTCTTTCAAAACCACCTAGGCCAATTGACATGGTTTTGCTCATCACAATATACTTTCTCTTGCGCAAGAGATACGTACTCTTGCACACGAGAAAGTTACAGGTTCACCAAGTAGGAAGTGGAGCTGTGCCTTTTAAGGGCCGGACACACCAATCTGACAACAAATAACTGACACAGACAGACCCCGACAGTTGCGTCGCCTCGCGTCTCTGCGTTTTGGCCATGTGTCGCACTGGAACACACTGCAAAGACTTCAGCCGACGGCCAAGAAGCACGTACGAACTGCGCATGCGTGAGTGGCAATAACTCTCCTTACCAGCAGGCGGCGGTAGTGTGTATTCGTCATTCAAAAGAGGCAACAACCGGAAGACAGACTGCTTGATAACCGAGAGATGAAGAACAGACTGCGTGATATAAACAAACAACAAATAGCGTGTGGGTTCCATTTTCACTCTACAGCGAGAAGCTCATAGGGCAGGGCTATTCAATTGGCGGCCCGCGGGCCAAATCCGGCCCCCGGGTGATATTTACTGACCCTTTGGGTATAATGTTAAAAAAAAATAAAGTT